TTTAAATGTATAGGGTTGATGACCATATTACTAAGTTTTTATTAGATAGTTGAACAGAACTATTTGCAGTCTCCCTGTTTGAATTCCCATTTATATGTTCCACTTTTGTATCTTGAACAATTATTTGTAAGAGGAAAATATGTAAACGTCAACTAGTGATTTACTACTGTTCATTTTTTCCTTTGAAAGTATGTACTATTTCTACCTGTTTTCTGTTTTGTTTTGTCTTTCTTTAAATAAAAAGTTTTTTTAAAAAGATACATGGGGAGAAACTGATTGCTGGTTCTTCAGAGGAGCTCAAGTCTTCACCTTCAGCTTGGATGTCATCTCCTGGCATAGACTGTTTGGCTTCTGCCTGGGACTCTTTAACCTTCATCTTAGACTCTTCAGCCTTCATTGTAGACTCTTAAGTTTTACATCATAGAATTCAGGGTTCTGTCACAGACTGATCTGCCTCCTGATATAGACTTGCATGGTACAGTATAGTAAACTCCAGCCATGGCCTGGACCCTCAACCTCCAGCATGCAAACACCCTCTGCAAACTCCGTTATCTGACTGTGGCTGACCATTGTAGGCCAATCTTGTATTTTCTTATGCATTTGTAGTCTTATGTTACATCTGTTTCTCTAGTAAACTCTCCCTGATACACTCTAATTATTGAAACATTATTCATTTTTGTGTGTGTATATTGAGTTCAATTCTGTTGTACTACTGAATGCGAGTATTCATTCTAGAAATCTATTGATGTAATTGTTTAGGTCTTCTATGTAGAGCATCATGTCATCACTAAATACTATCAATTTGACTTCTTTCTTCCCATGCATATCCCTTTTGTTTCTTTCTCTTGCCTGATTGATTGCTCTCACTAAAGTTTTGGGTATTATACTAAACAGGAGTGGTGATAGTAGACATCCTTGTCTTGTTCATGATTTTAGAGGGAAATCTTTCCATTTTTTCCCACTTAATATGATGTTGGCAGTAGATTTTGTCATAAATGGCTTTGATCAGAGGGCAATAAAAGATACTATCTTTAAGGATTTTTATCGGGAAAGGATGTTGAATTTTGTTGAGCTTTTTCTACATTTTTTGAGATGATCGTTTGTTTTTTGTCCTTGCTTCTGTCTATGTGATTTATTCCATTTATTGATTTGTGTATATTGAATCATCCTTGCATCCCTGGGGTGAAGCCTACTTGGTCATAATGTGTGATCTTTTTGATGATCCTTTGCTTTCTATTTGCCAATATCTTGTTGAGGATTTTTGTGTCTATATTCACTAAAAAGATTGGTCTTCTTCTAAACCCTTAAGGGGAAGCCTTCCTGAAGCAACAGCTTTTGCATTCTGCATGTACCTAAAACCTGTGCCATGTAAATGATACCAAGGTCTGCCACCAGCTGGAGCAGTAGCCAGGCTTCATTGTCTCTGGGTTATATGGGTGGAGTGCCTGGATTACTGATTGCTGTGACTCCAATCCTAAAGAAAAAGTTCCCTAGGCCACCATCATTCTAGAACATAGTGCCCTGGGGCTTGTTTCCCAAAGAGAAGTCTTTCACCTATGTAATTTTGAGCCTTGAAAGGCAGTTTTGAGCCTACTATTTCTTGTAATACCCTTAGGCCATCTTTTGTATTATCCTGTTCCAAAGTACTTGGTTTGGTTTGGTTTGGTTTGGTTTGGTTTGGTTTGGTTTGGTTTGGTTTGAGATAGAGTCTCACTGTGTAGTTCAGGCTGGCCTTGAACTTATTTATGTAACCAAGATTGACCTCAAACTCTCAGTGATCCTTCTGCCTCAACCTCCCAAGTGCTGAGACTACAGGCATGTGCCACCATATCCATCATTTAATACTTGACTTTTTTAATGCTAATCTTTTCAGCAGCCAAGTTCTCTGTTCCATCTTTGCAAGCTATGACTTTACCAGAGCTTTCTTTCTGGTGAAACTCAAAACATTTTAAATCATTTTGCTAGATCCTTTGCTCTCGAGACTCCAAGTAGATATGGCTAAAAGCATACAACAGTAGTCATGCCACTGCTTCAGCACTAGATGGCTTTGAAATTTCTTCCACCAGATGAATTAGTCCAGTGCCCATAGTCTAGTTCTCAAGACATAAGCAAAATGCAGACACATTTTCTGCTGAAGTGTAATATACATGGCCAGGAGTCCAACAGCCAATAGATTCCTTTCCAGTTTAAACCTCCTGAGGCCTAGTCATTACTAACTACATTTCTATCAGCTTTCTGGTCTTCTGATTTCCAACCAGAATGTTCCACCAGACATGGCTCAGAGCATTCTAGGGCTGTTTCTCCAGCTAATATTTCCAAACCTTTCCAAACTCCTCCCACAGATCAGTTCCAGAGGCTTCTCAACCACATAATCAGGTAATGTCCCAGCAGCATCCCCAGGTGTCTGGTACTGAAACCTGTTCTAGTTATTTTCTTGTTGCTGGGACAAAACACTTGACACCCATAAGTTAAAAGAGTAGTGAGCTAATCTAAGGCAGGATGACATGGCAGAGGAGAATCAGTTCATGGCGTGGCATGGCAAAAATCAGCAAGTGCCCAAGACAGAATATCTATGTCTCTGTCCCTGTCTCTGTCTCTGTATCACTAGGCCATGCCCACAGTGCCCCACCTCCTCTCATCAGGTTTCACTTCCAAGCATCACACCCAGGGATAAACCCATCAGCAGACTAATTCAGTATCACACACCCATGATCCAGTATCACACACTCTCAAACCCATCATGTCCCAAAAGCCCCATCTATGAATGCACGAGGCTTTGGGGGTTATCTAGATACAAGCCATAACATGGGTATTTACAACTTTAAACTTCCCTAATAGGATTGCTTTCATCGTGCCCCTTGGGTTCTGGTGTGTTGTACTGGTATTATCATTTGATTCTAGGAACTGTCTAATTTCTCCCTTTATTTCTTCTGTAACCCACTGACTATTGAAGAATGGATTGATTTCTATATGTTTCATAATTTCTTCATTTTATTTTGCCACTTATTTCTAGTTTCATTGCACTGTCATCTGATAAATATACATGGGATAATTTCACTTCTTTCCCTTTATTCATGCATACTTTATAGGCAAGCTTGTAGTCTGTTTTTCAAAAAGTTGCATGTGCTGCTGAAAAGAATTTATATTCTGTTGTTCTTGAGTGGAACACTCCATAGATATATATTGAGCCCATTTTTTCAAAGGTGTAATTCAACTCTGATATTTCTTTGTTAATTTTTTTGTCTGGTTGATCTACTTGTGATAATGTGGTACTGAGTTCCCCTGTGATAATTGTATTGATTGATATAATAGTTACTTCTGGTTGCTTTTGGATTCCAATGCATGGAATATTGTATCCCATCTTTAAACTTTTTAGTCTGTGAATTTCTTTTTGGAATAAATGTGTTTCTTATATAAGGCATGTTACTTGGTTTTTTAAAAATCCAATCTGCTAATCTATGTCTTTTGATTGAGGAGTTAAGACTATCTCCATTGAGATTTATTATTGAAAGCTATTTACTTATTCCTGTCATTGCATTGCATTAATTTTTTTTGTCAGAGATTTCATAGATGTCATTGTTTTTTTTATTTAAGGAGAAAAAGGAAAAAAACAAAAAGGGTGCAAGTAATACAAAATTGAAAAAATAAACAGTAAGAAATCACTAGTTAATAGATTACATATTCTCATCTTAGAAATAGTTGTTCAAGTTACAAACTTGAAGCATATAAAGTGGACCTTCAAACAGTGAGAGTGCAAACAGTTTTGTTCAGTGATCCAAAAAACACTCAGTAATATGGTTATCTATCTTATACACTTAAACATATATGCAGTTACAAGCTTTAGAGCACTTTCTTTTCTTTTCTTTTGTACAATGACAGTTACATATTTTGGGTTTTATTACTCCCACAGTTCTTATTACTTTTTTTGAAGAGAGTAAAACCAAATGTGACATATCAGAGTCAGTCAAATCAAAAGGATGGACATAATAGATAATGGGATGTAGGTGGCTGGAGTCCTGTATGCCTCATATATTTGAGTATCTTTACCATTTGCTAAATTAGGGAAATTCTCTTGGATTATTTCTGTGAATAGCTTTTGTAGTCGATTTGTTTGTGTCCCCACTTCTTCTCTTACGTTCTTAATTCTTAAGTTATAGATCCTCTTATCATCTTCTAGTTTTTTGTATTGTTGCTGTTTGTTTTTTTGTTATTTTTAAGAAGTTTTTCATTTCATGCTCCCATATTACAAATCTGCCCTCCAGTTCAGATAATCTGTCCTTAGTTTCTTTCAAGCTGTTATGCCAGTTTAGTTTCCTGGTAATCTCTTTGAACCTGCTTTACGTATTCTATGTTTTCTCTATCTTCTCCATCAAACAATTCTCCCCTTTTTTTCTGTTCTTCCATTCCACCATCTGTTTTTTCTTGGGCGGTACTTAGCATTTCTCTAACTATTCTGCTTATGTCTTGTTTCAGGTCATTAATGACTTTATTCCTGAACTCGTCTATGAGGCTCTGGAGATAGCGCTTTTGTCTATTGGTGCCGTGTCTGCTATTGCATGTTTCTCAAGATTGGGGGCCGAGGACCCCTTCTTGTTGCTCCCTCTTCCCATATTCTTTGTTCCTTATATTTAAGCATTTATAGGAGGCCCAGCTTCCTTCCCTGTCAGCCACAGTCTGTTTGAATTGTGCTGGCTAGGTGTTCCCACCCAACACAGCGCACCAGGGAGACCCAGACCTGGGAAGTCTATGCCAGGCCCGCCCCTCCAGGTCAACCTCCCGAAGGCTTCACTGCTAGGGTGCACCTCCAGGCACTGGGACCTGAGTTGGGCTAGCCTATTGGGTCTCAGCTAGCAGCACTCCCCACCAATCCCGCTTGAGAGGGGGATATGTGACTAAAGTCACTGTAGCATCTCATTCTGGGAAGTCTGCCCGGTCCGAGTATGTCCTCCGCTGAAGCCTCCTTCTCTATGGGAGGGTCTCAATTTGCCCACTCACCACAGGTTGTTGCGGCACCTGGCCAGTCCCGGCTCCCAACTCCTTCCAACGCTCCCCACTCTCCGAGCTTTCACGCCTCTCTCCCTGCTGTGCTGACCAGGACACAACAGTGGCTGCAGGTAATTCAAATCACAGTTTCCAGTAGCACGGGGTCCGGCTTCCGTGCTGAGACCTTATCTGTTCCTGCTGTATCACCGGGATTGTGTTTCCAGTTGGTTTCTCTTAATTTAGTTCGTTCCTGGGTTGGCAAAGAATATCCTCCCTTACCTAGGACTTCCTGCCCAGCACCATTCCTGGATTTCAAGTGCAGTTTCTCAGAGAGCCTCCGAGGGTGCTGCTATCTATCCGCCATGTTCTTCCAAACTCCCGCATTGCATTACTTTTGCTGGTTCCCTTTCTTCCCCTTCTGCTTAATTGCTCACCCATCTCAGTCTGTTTATTTCATTAGAGTTTTTGGCATTGTTGGCTTCATTGTCTCTTTGGAGGATATACTTGTGAACTTTTTCAAACATTTGATGTTCATGAATTTCTTAAGGGTTGTTTCTTATGGAAAGACTATTTCTCCATCAGCTTCAGATAGTTTTATACTATATGTCTGAATTTGAAGTTATTTTTTTTTAGAGGTCATAAACACTTCAATCTAAACTCTCCTGGCCTTTAAGGTATGTGTTAGGAAGTCTTCTGTAATTCTCATGGGTTTACCTAAATGATTTGTTATTTTTCTCTAACAGCTTTTAAGATTTTGTCCTTGTGTTGATCTTCTGGATTTTGACTATGATGTGTCAGGAAGAAGTCCTCTGATGTTGGTAATTTTGGTTTTTATATGCCTTCCTTACTTTTTAAGTCCCCATATTCAGAAAATTTTCTATTGTTATTTCTGTAAACAAGTTTTTATGCCATTTGTGTCACTTTCAAGTTTTCACTACTTACAGTTAATTTTAGAGTAATCTTCTTTGCATCATCTAGCAGCTCTTAAATCTATTTTTCATATTCTTTCTTAAGATTTCTCTGAGTATATGGTCACTTGTATTAACCCTGTCTCTGGTTCTGACTCTGTCCTCACGTTGATCACCTTTGTTTCCCACTGTTCTTCTAGAAGATTTCATTTACTAATTTCTGTTTGGTACCTTTTCATGGACTCTTATTGTTTGCTCATTAGTCATTCATGTTTCGTGTCATTTTAACTCAGCTAGTTTTTATTAGTGTTTTCTGTATTATCATTGATCATTTTGTTTATTATGCCCATTGTTAATGTTTATATCATTTTTGAGCTCACTGAGTATCTTATTGATCTGTTTATTTATTTGTTTGCCCCACCTCCTCTTTAAGCATTCAGTATAATTCAGTTGTTTGGCTTTTGACTTCCTCTTCATTGATGCTGCATGGATCAGTTTTGGGGGAGTTGGAAGTTTTTGGAGACATTTTATTGCCTCGTCTTCTCTTGTTCCTATTTTGCTAGCAACTTTTTTGCTAGTGTGGAGCCCTCTTTGTTAATGTCTGCTTTTGAGTGATACTCTCTGGATATGCCTAACTATAGGCCTTTGTCTCTCTCCCAAGATCCAACCACCATTGTTAATTTGGGAGAGTGTAGGGTACAGTGTACTGAGCCCACTGCTCAGTTCTCTGGAAGTGGACTGCAGTTTTGATGACACAAAGGCAAACCACATATTGACATATAGTAAATCTCATTAATAGCCACAACTATGTCACCATAGCAGTCAGTAACAATAATAGAGTCAAAGACAGACTGAACATTGACATACTGTAAGAATCAATAGAATTCAGGTGTGGTGGCACACAACTATAATCCCAGCACTGAGGAGCTGAGACTGGAGGACCATTGCCCGTTTGAGGAAATCTTGGATCATGTAGAGTTCAAGGGTGGCCTGAACTACATAGCAAGAAAAAAAAAAATAGAAGCTACCAGTGTACCTTGCTTAACCCCATAGGAAGAATTACAGTTATTAACATACAGTAAATATCTTTAAATGCTATAATAATGCCACCATTTAATGATAGAAAAGATTTCAATGATAGCATAGTTAGCTAAATTTTCAGTTGTTTCTTTTTGTTTTGTTTTTTGGTTTTTTTGTTTTTTAGTTTTTTTGTACTGGGACTCAAACTCACAAACTCGTATTTGCCAGAAAGCCACTAAGCTGTAGCCCCAGGCCCAATTTTCAAAGATTAGTAAAGCTTTACTAGTAACACCAGTAAAGATGGAGTGGACATGGAATGGGAGAATGAACTTAGAAAAATATAGAAAAATAGGAGAGAAAAGTGATATAAAGGATCCTATTAAGGAATACAAGAAAACTAATAGAATTAGAAAAAATTAACAGAAAAGAACAAACATGAAAAGGAATTCATAGAGTAAAATAAAGTTGAAAAAGAAAAAACTCACCCCCCACCAAAAAAAAAAAAAAATGAAGAAAGAAAAAATGAGTCCAAAAAAATCCTCTGTTTTTGAATCAGTATTTTTTCCATAGTCAGCAGCATTAAAATCCATTAGATGGGGAGAGGGTGGGTGAGTCACTGCTAAGTCCTATTTTGTTTCCAGGCTTCTGTTTTTGTGTGTGAATGCTGGATCCTGCCTGCCTTTCCTCTTGGGTATGTCAGTCAGCGATTTCCACCCTAGACCTGAAGTCACTGTGCACATCCAGCGTTTATGTTTATCTGTGCACAACAAGTCATATTTTTCTCTGCCTAGCTTTATGGCCTGCAGTTTATGAGGCACACCCCCTGCTCCAGAAGTCCCTCTGCCTGTACATTCCCAGCTGTGGCAGCCATGCAGATCAAGTTGTATCCCTGCCCACACTGGTAGATGGGGACACCAAACAGACTACAGAATTCTGTCCTAGATACAGGCCACAGGGCGGGGACTTATGCCAGTACGTTCAGCCCTTTCAGGATTGTGCTGCATTTCTCCAGCTTTCCTATCAGTGCCTTCCCAGTTATTAAAGGTTAACTTTTTTTTTCCTTCTCCAAATTGTTATGCAGGTGTCTTGATTCTAGGTCCTATATTCTAGCCACTGTGTTTTGTTACCAGTCTCTACTCTGGTATTTTTCTGGCTTCTGTGTTTGTTTTAAAATATATTACTTTTAAAGGGGAAAAAGATTTTCATTTTGAAAAAAAATTCTAAATTTTCAGAAAGGTTATTTACCTTTTTGCAAATATTGCAAAACTATTTCAGTTTTCCTGTTTTTAGCTGACAAAAAGGGTAGGCTAATTAATAAGGAAGGCTAGAGAAACAGCAGTCAACAGGTCACCTGACTTATGTTCACTTGCTGTGTTATTCATTTGCCCTTTTTATAATTTGTCTTCTTCTACTAAAAATTTAAACTATATGATATAATGGCTATAGTTTGACCCTAGCTGCCCCTGCAGGATCTAAACAATGCTTGCCTCAGTGCAGATTCTCAGCACTACTGAAAGATTGGTCTCCTGGTAAATTTCTTCTTTGCTTTGTTTTCCCTTTTCCTTTGTTCTTATTTTCTGGTGATGAATTTGATGCTGTCTCCTTACCCCATGAAAAGTTTCATCTGACCTCTTTTGTTCATCTTCTCTCCATCACTGAGATATTAAAAAAAATCCCTGACTTTTTTTTTCTCCTGGTAGGCTTTAATGGAAGCCTGGCTTCTGAGCTACCCCTGATAGTCATCTGAATTTATACTTGATTGTCTGGGCTTTAGAACTCACTCTGTAATCCTAATTAATATTCTAGCCTATTCAATCTTCTTAAGAGGAAAGATGTTCCATGATTTCTCCATTTACCTTTCCTTCTTTCCACAATTTCATTTCAGTAAGTTTCATCAGCTGCTATTCTTCAGGGGATTTCCCTCCTCTCCCATGTAGTTACTACAAGTAGCCCCAGCTGCCTATCTGACAGTGCTGGTCACACTGTCTAAAGCGACACTGTTATTGGTGCTGTAGGTGTTCATCTGACTGCTGCACTGCTGACAGGTCACTTTCCTCCACCCTCTACCACTGTCTCACCCTTTGGTCTAACCTGTCATCTTACTCTTGCCGTCTCCAGCTCCAAGGCAATGCTTGCCCTCTCTTGGAGAGAAAGACATTAGACACCTGCGTTACATTTTCAGTGACTGAGAGTTACTCTCACCTACCTGCCTTTCAACAGTACCCCTGCTACTTTTGGAAAACACCACCAGGAGTCCCTTTGAAATTTCAGCAGCCTGTTTTCAAATTTTAATCAATCATAGGTTCTCTCAATCACATTTTTATTTCTTATTGCAGATGTGGTACACTGTGGGTAAACTGCTTAATGTGTACTAGGCAGACAATGTAACCATCAATAAAATACTTTCCCTGAAAAGATGTTTTGGGTCCAGAACTGTAGGTCTATTATTAAACTTTCTTAATCTCTCCCTCAAGAAATCTCTATTTAAAGGAGTGTACGTTTTAAGCTAAATACTGATGGATAAATGAAGGATGCAAAAAGAAAAAAGAGAAAAAAGAATAGTTTTCTCTTAATTTTCAAAAGTATTTCAATTGAGTCATTCTATCACATTGATTTTTTAAAAACTAGTATAAATTCTCAAGAACATAAATAAATATATACCTATCTTTTCTCAATTTTTAAGACCTTAATGCATTTTCAACATTATGACACCTTTAAGTAATTTAAAATCAGAATTTATTTTATTAATGATAGAGAATATTACTTATCCTTGATTAGTAGCTATTTAGATTTTGACTTGTAATACAAGTCCAACATTCAAAGTTAATCTGCTCAGGAGTGAGTAAAATTAAACTGCAGAGCCCATTTCATTCATTGAACACATATATATTGTACACGTGTAGTGTCCTAAGCACTGTTTCAGGCACTGAGTGTAGGGCTTAGACAGGAAGAGGACGGAAAGGGTTGGTAGAAACCCATTTCTTTATGACCTGCAAAAAACATTCACATTTTCTATCTGACTCAGCAATTTAACTTTCTAGAAGTCTTCTCAAAATTATCATGCAAACATATGCAGTTGGTATTTGACAATAAAGCCAAACCACAGCCACACGGTGGGATCCCAGGAGGTTAAAAAGGAATTCCAAAGATATGCTGTGACACTGTAGAATGAAACAGTAAGAAGAAAAACCGTGGATAATACC